CCCTGAAATTCTCTACAAAGTGAGCTGGTCAGAATATCCAGGCAGGTGGGACCAGTCATTAAAGATATGTACAAGAAGCGTTTGGGTGTTCTCTATGCAGTACAGTGTTTCGTAATCACAAGAACTCATTTGTTTTTTATTTATAAAGCTGAAACTAATCGGAACACTGTTCTGAATAGCCCGAAGATTTTTCTATCAAATGAGGTGTACATCGCCGTTTCCTGAGGAAAGCTGATAATAGTTTTCACCGAATTCTTTACAACTGAGTTTTTTAGGTAAGGAGGAGGAGAATACACTGGCTCATGATCAACTTCTAACATTGACCTCGGTTAATAATAAGGTGGAACTGTTTACAGTTTCGCCACAGTTGACGACCTCAGTGGGGGATAGAATAGAGATAATTTCTCCCTCTACATCAGTAAACCCTAATAGTATGACTTCAACTTCCTTTCATACACGGACTGGTGGTATTACTGATGAAACAGTCAGAAATAACGCTAATAGTGTAACTACAACTACTACAGTTCATATATCTCCGATTAGTATATGTGCTCCTCTTCTCTCGTCACGTCAGTGGGTTGATTCGTAGGTCCCAACGAACTTAACCTTTGATATGTCAACCATTGAACAAGATGGATTAGACAAAAACATTGAAGGTTTTAGATTATATAAAGAATGGTGGTTAACGATGGACTGTAAAGCCCGAGTACACAATAATACACTATGTAAACGAGAGAATTGTGAATTGAACCATCGGCAAGAGGATTATTGCCGGATATGTAACCGTAAAAGCCGACATATGATTATGTCGATAAGCACACTCATTTAGGTCTAATACTGACACCCAATTTGAGTTGGAAAGAACATATAAATAGTATTATAGTAAAGTGCTCACATGTAATTGGCTCGATGAAATATCTGAGTAGGAGAGTTTCAACACAAACTTTTGATTCTGTGTATAAGGCTTTTATTCTTAGTGTCCTAAGCTACGCGATAGTTATATATGGAGGGACAGATGCCGCTGACCTAAATCGACTAAACCCGATACAGTATCAAGCGTGCTTAGCAGTGTCTGGAACTATGCGAGGAACATCACATGAAAAAATATTGTACGACTTGGGATGGCTAGCAATCCAGGACCTTATTTACGTTCGTAGATTGTGTTTGTTTCACAAAATAATGTATTGAAAAACAGCTAGTTATCAAAAGAAGCTAACACCAGTGAACAACAGTTTTTGAGTTTATTTATAATGAGAAAAAAGCATATCATTTATTGATGACTGGATTTTCAAAGCTTTTTATTGCTTCGAGAATTTCTAGTGTATCTCAGGCGAGATTGTCTAAGTGTTTGTGTACTATTGTACCAGTTGCCGATTAATGCATCTGGTATACCCCCTCTGAACTACTATATTATGAAATTTTAGCTGTATTGTCTATTGCAATTGTATTATTGCTGCCTGTTGCCTTCGTTCGATTTCAGCTTTAATCATTGCTTTCTGAATATGGTCCGGTAAACCGGGACTTAAAGAAAATACATATGGTAACACCATTTTCGGAATATCGTCGAAATGAACGATACACTTGATAAATATACTATTATCTTTCACGTAATTATTTTTATCTTGTTGAAGCATTGATAATGGAAAGAACTTAGGTATTCCGAATGCAATATTCATCATTGTTTTCGGAATTTGACATGAATTTGAGCTTACATCTGGTCGGAATGAATTAATAATATGCCGCTGTTGCCCGGACGTATCAAATAGACAGAAAGTAACTTTAAAATGAAATGGCCACTTCAGAATTGAGTCATACTCTCCTCTCATCAATACAAAAAATAGCGAAACATGTGTTCTACGAGCATGTCCATCGCCATTTAAGTATAACCTCATACACATTTTATATCCAGTACGTGAACTATAAAATGGCGGTGAGTAAACGCTTGGTTGTCGTTCTGATTGAGCATCAGCTATCCGTTCTCCAACGTTGTTTACTTTCCAAATAAATGTACCATCATACGACGTATACTCTAAATTTTCGATACTTTGTGTCAAATCGTTTAAGTTTTGTTGTATCATCTCTTGATTTATCCGTATTCCGTTTAACAAGGCACCGTGATCTTCTTCCGAATTTTGCACTTTTAATTGTTCATGACGGTATTCTTCAACGAAACTTTTTACTTGTATCGATTCACTAGTCAGTCTTGTGGAATCTTTGATCAACGTTTGTATTTCATCTGCGAGAATAGTCAACGTTTCGTGCAACTGGTTAGTTTGACCGTACAAATCTTTTATAGTTTCTGCAGATGATTCTGGATTATCGATATTCTTCGATGATGAATTATCTGAAGTT